GGCTGAGGCAGGAGAATGGCCCAAACCCGGGAGGCGGAGCTTGCAGTGAGCTGAGATCCGGCCACTGCACTCCAGCCCGGGCTACAGAGCAAGACTCCGTCTCAAAAAAAAAAAAAAAAATTAAAAACTTTTCCTGTGCAAAAGATACTGTTAAGAGAACAAAAAGACTGGGAGAAAACACAAGCAAATCATGCTTTGACAAAATGCTTGTAACAGAATGCATACTTTACAAAACTAGGCTGGGCTTGGCGGCTCACGCCTGTAGTCCCAGCACTTTGGGAGGCCAAGGCAGGTGGATCCCCTAAGGTCAGGAGTTCCAGACCAGCCTGGCCAACATGGTGAAACTCTGTCTCTACTAAAAAAATACAAAAATTAGCTGGGCATGGCAGCACACCATGTAGCCCCAGCTACTCGGGAGGCTAAGGTGGAAGAATTGCTTAAACCCAGGAGGTCGAGGTTGCAGTGAGCCGAGATTGCACCACGGCACTCCAGCCTGGGCAACAGAGCAAGACTCCGTCAAAAAAAAACTGTCAAAAAAAAAGACTCCCTGTCAAAAAAAAACCACACCTAACAAATAAAAAACAAAAAACAAATCTCAACAAGAACACAAACAACCCAATTTAAAAGGACAAAAGATCATGAACAGATACTTCACCAAAAAACAGATATAAATAGCAAATAAGCACAGGAAAAAATACTCAACATCACTAATTATCAGAGAAATGCAAATTAAAACCACAATGAGATATCATCTTACACCAATCAGAACGACTATTATTAAAAAGTTAGGTTGGGTGTGGTGGCTCATGCCTGTAATCCTAGCACTTTAGGAGGCTGAGGAAGGAGAAACACTAGAGCCCAGAGGTCCAAGACCAGCTTGGGCAACATACAAGACTCTGTCTCTACAAAATATAAAAAGTTAGCCAGGCATGGTAGCACATGCCTATGGTCCCAGCTACTCAGGAGTCTGAGGTGGGAGGATCACTTGAGCCCAGGAAGTCAAAGCTGCAATGAACTATGACCAAGCCACTGCACTCCAGCCTGGGTGACACAGCAAGACACCCCCCATCTAAAAAAAAAAAAAAAGATGTTGGCATGGACACAGAGAAAGGGAACACTTTAACACACTGGTGGTGGGAATATGAATTAGTTGAGCTTCTATGGAAAACAGTATGGAGATTTCTCAAAGAACTAAAAACAGAACTACCATTCAACCCAGCAATCCCACTAGGGGGAATATACCCAAAGGAAGAGAAATTATTATATTAAAAAGACACCTGCACTCGTGCAGCACTATTCTCAACAGCAAAGTCATAGAACCAACCTCAGCATCCATCAACGGATACAGAAAATATACACCACAGCCGGGCGTGGTGGCTCATGCCTGTAATCCCAGTACTTTGGGAGGCCGAGGCAGGCAGATCACTTGAGGTCAGGAGTTTGAGACCAGCCTGGCCAATATAGTGAAATCTTGTCTCTACTAAAAATAAAAAATTAGTCAGGCATGGGGGCACATGCCTGTAGTCCCAGGTACTGGATAGGCTGAGGCAGGAACAGAGCTTGAACCCAGGAGGTGGAGGCAGCAGTGAGCTGAGATCACACCACTGCACTCCAGCCTGGGTGACAGAGTGAGAAAGAAAAAGAGAAAGAGAAAGAAAAAGAGAAAGAGAAAGAAAAAGGGAAAGGGAAAGGGAAAGGGGGAAGGAAGGAAGGAAGGAAGGAAGGAGGGAAGGAGGGAAGGAGGGAAGGAGGGAAGGAGGGAAGGAGGGAAGGAGGGAGGGAGGGAAGGAAGGAAGGAAAAGAAAGAAAAGAAAGGAAAGAAGGAAAGAAAGAAGGAAAAGAAAGAAGGAAGGAAGGAGAGAGAGAAAGAGAGAGAGAAGGAAGGAAGGAAGGAA